TGCTGGCTCAGGAATTCTGGGAGTTGAAGTCCACGAGTCATAAAAGAGCCAAGGTTGCCTACCCCTGGTCTAGACGTTCAAGCAAAATCACAGATATTCAACAATCACGATCGGATTTTAGTTTGGCCCTGTGCAGGATGCTGATTTTGGCCCAGATTTCCCTTTTGTTTAACTTGATCACTGCACAAAGTTGGCATAAAAACACACCCAGGTGCACACTTCCCCCCCCTCTCCAGGATGAAATTTGAAGCAGCACAACATTTGGAAGAGAACCGAGGTGAAGGTGTCCGTCGGTTTCAAAATGGAAGCTTTAAAAAGGTGTGAAGTCTATTTCTTCTCGTCTGTGGAGATTCTCAGTCCTCCAGGTTGTGGTTATCCCAAAGATGCTTTTTCAGGAGGCAACTGGACTTTCTGGTTTTTCTTTGAAGGCGTTTCGCTTCTCCTCCAAGAAGCTTCTTCAGCTCTGACGGGATGGTGGAGAATGGAAGGATTTATACTCCTTGCAGACAGCTGGTCATTTGCATCCTTTTAGAGAGTCATTGAGGCCACTTGGAGGTTTGCCCACAGGGAAGGGAGACAGGGCAGAAAGCATCCTGAGCCAAGAAGGCTCCACACCCATTTGCACTACTCAGGAGACCCTGAGGACACAGGTAAACCTCCAAGTGGCCTCAACGACTCTCTAAAAGAAGGCAAATGACCAGCTGTTTGCAAGGAGTATAAATCCTTCCATTCCACACCATCCAGTCAGAGCTGAAGAAGCTTCTTGCAGGAGAAGCGAAACGCCTTCAAAGAAAACCCAGAAAGTCCAGTTGCCTCCTGAAAAAAACACCTTTGGGCTCTATTTCTTCTCCAACCTCAGGAAAAAGGACAATTTTTGTGGCCTTCTAACTCACCACCACCCCCACCCCGGACAAATCATACCTCTCGTCTGATGGACTCTGTTGCAGCCACAGGATGTGAGCCACGTTTCCAGATGCTTTGTGGGAATCCAAGCAGATCTCCACCTTGTGGGAAAGGACTTCTACCTCTAGATAGGACTCGGCGTTGAAATTCTGCGCCAAGATGCAATCTTTGCTCGTGCTGGGCTCTTGACACAAAGAGAGAAATGATCAGCCTTTCTGAAGAGCTGTGATTTCTCCACCATCTTCATGGGAAGGAAGGAAGGAAGGAAGGGAGACCTCCAACCTGGAATTTATGGGGTGGTGGGGGTCCAAGCCACCCTACTCTTCTAATTCATCACTATGTTTCTGGACATCTATTCTTCCCTTTTTTCCCTTTCCCCCCCAAAAAATAAGAAAAGAGAGGGAAGGGAGAGAGGGAGGGAGGGAAGGAAAGAGAAAGAAAGAAAGAGAAAGAAAGAGAAAGAAAGAGAAAGAAAGAAAGAGAACAAATGGAGGGAAGGAAGAGAAGAAAAAGAAAGTCAGAAAGGAAAGAAAGAAAGAAAGAAAAAGAAAGAAAGAACAAACGGAGGGAAGGAAGAGAAGAAAAAGTCAGAAAGGAAAGAAAGAAAAAGAAAGAAAGAAAAGGGAGGGAAGGGAAGAAGGAAGGAAGGAATGAAGAAAGAAAGAAAAAGTGTAAGGAAGAAAGAAGGAAGGAAGAAAGAAAAAAGGGAAGGAAGGAAGGAAGGAAAAAAAAATCAACAGCATCGCTTTGTTCTTCTCATATACTCATAGGGGTTGGAAGGGACTTTGAATGATCTGAGAGGTCCCACAGAAAGCTGAGCTGGGGAGGGGGCAAAATCTCTACCGAGCAAGGTTTTAACAATACTCACCTCTCCCTACTCGGAAGAGAATCCGTTGAGGGTCTTCTAACTCCGCAAAGGAAGAGACGCCTCCGTACGTTTCCTTGGCCCAGGTCAAAAGTTGCTCGCCGGAGAAAGGCAGGACGGTTGCGGTGGAGTTATGACGGGAAGAAGGCATGACGTAGCTACGAGGACCCTACAGGAACAACAACAATAATAATGAGCAGGGGGGTTGGACTAGATGACCTCCAAGGTCCCTTCCAACTTTTATTATTATTATGATGATGTTGATGTACAGGTAGTCCTCAACTTAAAACAGTTCATTTAGTGACAGTTCAAAGTTGCAACTTATGAGCCCTTTTCACACTTAACGACGTGGCAGCGTCCCCCGTGATCAAGTCAAACATTTGGCAACCGACTTGTATTTATGACGGACGGCGTCACGTGATTCCCTTTTGCAACCTTCCGTCAAGGGAGAAGCTGTATTCGTTTAACAACTTTAACAGCCGCAGCGATACGGTGGCCTAGAAAGGTCGTAAAATGGGGGCAAGGCTCATTTATCAGCTGTCTCGCTTAGCGACAGAAATGTTGGCCTCAGTTGTCATAAGTCAAGGACTAGAACTCAGTACCCAAATGCTGGGTGGAAATGATTTAGCTCCCGTGCAGCTAATACGAAAGATACATTTTTCATGTTTCTGAAACTCGGACCGCTTAATTCTTGTTTATTTATTACAATAGTTATTAATACTAAGCAACTGAGCAATGTTTAAGCAACATCATTCTTGCTGGTTTCCAATAGTTTATTTGATATCGACCAACGGCAATTTTTTTGCCAGCCATGTTAATTTATTTACAATGTTTCCTGAATGTTAAGCAAACTTAATAATGTTTCAGCAAACATCCTTAGTGATAGAATAATAATTATGAATGATGGGGAATATCAATGTATACGGTGCCGGACTCCATAGCTGTTCAGGGTGGTTTGCAAAGGGTTTAAAAATGTTTAAAAATGAGGAATGAAACAAAACAAGCCAAAGGAAAGAAAGAAAGAGAGAGAGAGAAAGAAAGAAAGAGAAAGAAAGAGAGAGAAAGAAAGAAACAGAAAGAAAGAGAAATAAAGAAAGAAAGAGAAAGAAAGACAGAAAGAAAGAAAGAAAAAGAAAAAAGGGAGGGAGGGGAAGGAAGGAAGAAATGAGACAGAAAAAGATAGAGGAATGAAAGAAGGAAGGAAGGAAAAAAGAAAAAGAAAGAAAGAAAGAAAGAAAGAAAGAAAGAAAGAAAGAAAAAACTGGCAGAGAAAACTTCAGAGGGGTTTGGATTATTTCCGTATTATTGTGACCATCCATGTATATCTGAAAATAACAACACATCTTTTAAAAAGAAACACAGTTCCAGGGCTTTGGGAACCCAAAAAATTATAAGAATTTAGGGTACTCCAGCCTGCAAACCTGAGTGCTGATGACACCCCAATTTTGCTATTACTGGTGTAAAAAAATGACAGAGATGGTTTTAGAGGGAACGAAAAGCTGAAAGTCTCTTTTGAAATACAGATATTTGTTCAATGAGTTTTGTCCCGTCTTTTACCATTTTTCTTGCCATGTTTTCGGTTAAGTGAACCGTTGCGGTTGTTAAATTAGTGACACGGCTTCCCGGTGGAGTTTCCTCGACAGAAGCTCCCCAAAGTGGAATCGCGCCGTCACAAATACGAAACCAGTTGCCAAAGGTCCGAATTTCGATCGCGTGACCAAGGAGGACGGTCATAAGAATGAAAAACGGTCGTAAAGTCCCTTTTACCCCCCCCCCCCCGGTGTCATTGTCATTGGTCACTACACCAACTGTTGCAAGTGGACGGACACTTGTGTACCAAATTCCCTTCTTCAGATTTGTCTGTTCAGCCCAGTGCTGGTCTGGCTTTGGGCTGGGAATTGTCCCCGGATGTTTTGACCTTACAAAGCGACGACGCGTGTTGGGACAACACAATTGCTATTTGTAGTTTTTGCCCTGTATTTCCCCCCCCCAAGGATGAAAGTGAGAGACTCGGAGTCCCTTCTCTGCAAGCAGAGCTAATCTCCCTCCAGGATCAAAGGGATTTTATAACTCATTGTTGTCTGCCGTGTAAGTCCCAGAAAAGACTCCGATTTTGGCGTCGTCCAGGATCAATTCCTGAGAGGTCGGCCGCCTTCAAAACAGGCCTTTGCGAGAGAGCATCCTGTCATCCCCCCCCCACGAGACATGTTTGCAATTCCCCCCCCCTTCAAGAATAATAATAATAATAAAATACAGTCTCTCTGTCTTGAGGAAGCTGAATTTTGCTGATGTTTCAGTTTTGGCTCTCCGGGTTGTTATGAATGAGTTTAGGTTGATAAATCAGTTTTTTGGGGAACAATTAAGGGCTGTTTTCGTTTGAGCAAGGAGGTTAGGAAGATTTCTTTAAATTTTATTTTTATTTCTTCACTCTGTTTCTCTTTCTCTGTGTCATTCTCTTTTTCCTTCCTTCCTTCATCTCTCTCTCTCTTCTCGATTTCTGTCTCTCACTTCTTCCTTCTCTTTCCCTCCCTCTTTCTTTCTTTCTTTCTTTCTTTCTTTCTTTCTTTCTTTCTTTCTTTCTTTCTTTCTTTCTTTCTTTCTTCCTTCCTTCCTTCCTTCCTTCTTTCATTTCTCTCTCTTTTTCTGTCTCATTTCTTCCTTCCTTCCATCCCCTCCCTTCCTTCCTCTCTCTTTCTTTTCTCTCTCTCTATCTCTCACTTCTTCCTTCCCTTTCCCTCTCTCCCTCCCTCCGTCCCTCTTTCTTTCTTTCTTTCTTTCTTTCCTTCTTTCCTTCTTTCCTTTCATCCTTCCTTCTATCTTTTTTTCTGTCTCATTTCTTCCTTCCTTACATTCCCTCCCTCCCTCCCTTCTCTCTTTCTTTTCTCTATGTCTCTCACTTCTTCCTTCCCTTTCCCTCCCTCCCTCCCGCCCTCCCTCCATCCCTCTTTCTTTCTTTCTTTCTTTCTTTCTTTCTTTCTTTCTTTCTTTCTTTCTTTCTTTCTTTCATTCCTCTCTATCTTTTTTCTGTCTCATTTCTTCCTTCCTTACTTCCATTCCCTCTCTTTCTTTCTTTCTTTCTTTCTTTCTTTCTTTCTTTCTTTCTTTCTTTCTTTCTTTCTCTCTCTCTTTCTCTCTTTCTCTTTCTCGCTTTCTCTCTCTCTCTTTCCTCCTTTCTTTCTCTCTTACCTCCTTTCTTGATTTAATTATTCTTCCCTTCCTCCCTTCTCCTCCCCCCCCCAGACCTTTCCACTTCCCAGTGAAAAGCAGAATTTGGCACCGCCTGACCAAGAAGGGATCCTAGTTTGGTTTGGCAATCTGCTGGGGGTTTTCCAAAACCTGGACACTCCCCATCTCTGCCCGTAATCGGCCCCCGCCCCGTCCCGCTGCCCGCCAGCCACTTCAGTCTGAGCAAGTCCTGGCACCCACCGCCCTCTTGCTTCCCCCCCGGCTGGGCCCGGCATGGCGAAGGCAAGCCGGCGAGGGTGGCTGGCATGAGCCGATGGTGCCACGCTCGATCAGATAGCGGCTTGTGCCTGAATCCCCTCCCATCCTCATTGTCAGCCCGTTTTTATTATTAGACACAAATAGGAAAAAAAAAAAAGTTTTGTGTGTTTTTTTTTTTTAAAGTTACAAACTGCCCGGACTGAGCGTGAGCCGGCTGGAGCCGAGGCCCAGAGGAAATGGGTCATTTTTCCGATTTTTTGTGCGTCACAGAAAAACTCCGCAGCTGAAAGGAAACAGACGTGATGGAGTCAAGCAAAAGGGAGACTCAGCTTCGCGGCTCTGTTTAGACGGGGCAAAACTACTAGGGGGCTGGGGCCAGGCTGTCGGGCGACCTCCCTACCCCACAGGGTTGTTGTGCAAGGGGTGGAAAATTGTGCAATCTCGTTTCATCGCTTGAGGGCCTCTACTGCACGGCTGGCTGGGTGCCTTTGGTCCCCAATTTTACAGTATGCGAATGGGTCCCGAATATCCAGTGTTAAATGAATCAATCAAAGCCGAGCCTTTGAAAATCCAAAGTAGAACTGGCATACTCCTCTCCTTGGCCTTCTTCATCTTTTTCCTGCTCGTTCCTGAGGGCTGGAATAGATGACCTCAAGGGCTGCTTCCAACGCCACAATGCCGGTGCCAAAGTGGAACTCGAGATTATTAGGAGGGCAGCGAGTCTCTTAAGAGGGAGACAGGATTCCCACCCAGCTTCTCCTTTGCGAGCGACGTGGCCTGCGGAACTGCAGCCCACGAGGTCCAAAATCCTAGCATTGGCCCCCCCCCTGCCTTCCCGCTATGGACTAGAACTCACGTGAATGACGAGGAGGCGGCAGTTTTCGTCGGAATGGATTGTCAGAACGAAGCTGCTGTTGGCGTTCAGAACGAAAACGGCTTTGCGCTCGCCTTGGGCTGCCCTCGAAGACACGTTGAGCTGGAGGGTGGCCATCTAGGCGAAGAAAAGAGACAGGCGGCCGTTGCACTTCTGGGCATGATAGAAGCAACCGATATCGGGGAGAACGTTTAGAGACACCCCACGTCTTCAAAAAGAGAGTTAAGGTTGGGAAGAAACACCCCCCCCCCAAGGTTTGGAGAGCAGTTCCCTCATGGGGAAAGACTTTGAAATATTTATTTTTCTATCATCCACCCATCCATTCTTTCATTCCACTTGTCTGTCCGTCCATCCATCCATCATCCATCCATTCAACTTCTCTGTTGTCTGTCTGTCTGTCTGTCTATCATCCACTCAACTTCTCTATCTTCCATGCATCCACCATTCCATCTACTCAACATATCTATCCATCCACCCATCATCCAACTATTCAACTTTATCTATCTATCTATCTATCTATCTATCTATCTATCTATCTATCTATCTATCTATCTATCTATCTATCTATCTCTGTTCGTCCTTCCATCCATCTATCCATCCATCCATCCTCATCCACTCAACTTCTCTAACTTCCATGCATCCACCAATCCATCTACTGAACTTGTCTATCATCCATCCATCCATCATCCAACTATTCTTTCATCCATCCATCCATCCATCATCATCCACTCAAGTTCTCTAACTTCCATGCATCCACCAATCCATCTACTCAACTTGTCTATCCATCCATCATCCAACTATTCTTTCATCCATCCATCCATCCATCATCATCCACTCAAGTTCTCTAACTTCCATGCATCCACCAATCCACCTACTCAACTTGTCTATCCATCCATCATCCAACTATTCTTTTATCCATCCATCTATCATCATCCACTCAAGTT